TGGATTTCGTTTTTTTTAGTGGTTCTACCCAACGTTATTTTACATTTTAGGCTCCACCTCGAGAAGTACGATCAATGTTGCAAGATTTGGACGAAATAATCTCAAGTGCTGAGATTGATAAAAGCGAGAGTGTTCCTCTAGTCACTGATATTGAAGATTTCGATGTTTACGAGTAAATAAACTATAATAGTTGTATATAGTTGGAAATTTTAGCTTTAAGCACTTGTTGTTACCAGGACATTATTTTTAAGTCCAGTTTGAATGTTATAGTGGAAAACTGGCTGCGAAGCTAATCTATTGGTACTGAGTTTCTGAACACAAATTATGCCAAATCTTCTTCTCTCCTAGCTTATGCCTATTTCTAGGGTGTGAATGATTATTGGGAAAAAGTGCAACAGTATTTATGTCATGATACAATAGTAAAAGTCAGAGAATAAAATATTTTATTCAAGAATTCTGTTGACAATATGGGTTAAAGCAGAACCACATCGAGTAAAGTAAAAGAGGGTGTGAGACAATTTGCGGCAGAAAGCACATTTTTTTGAAAATTCGTCGTCTTAAATTAATTTCGATACTTTATGTGTCTTTTCTGCTAAAGTGTGAATGCGACGAATTTTCTTTAACGGCTCACTTTTCATAGCAGAAAACTCACACCCATTTATCAAGATTACACGAATCCCCCTTGAAAAATGTGGAATGCATTGGTGAAAGCAGTATAAATGCTGTTTATTAATAGAAGGAAAGGATTTTCCCCCGTTTATGCCACTATCCGACGATATCGTTGACGGATGGGAATGATACTCCCAACCCTGTGTTCACTCCTACTCCAGCAAATGGTACGCCAACACCAAAGTTCGTGCCAACCTTAATAATTCTTGACTGAGATAATGTAGAATGTTTGGTAAAAGGTGAAAAAAAGAGCTACATACTTGTCCGTTCATATAATCCACTCCAACATGCTGATTTTGTTGATAATATGGGCCGACACCTCCACCAACATCTACACCGATAGGTTTTCCAAGCTCACCTTGTTTCACTGGTACAGATACCTAAAAATATTCGTTTCGGTTATTTTTAAAATATCTC